TTTTTCTATTCTATTCTTCGAAACCTTCTACTGCTATGGTATATGTTGAGCATTCCTAATCTAAAAATCTGAAATCCAAAATGCTTCGAAGTCTGAAACTTTTTGGAGTGCTGACATGACACCAGAAGCAGAAAATTCTACACCTGAATTCATGTGACAGGCTGCAATCAAAATGTAGGCACACTGAAAACATTGTATAAATTACCCTTAGGCAAATGTGTATTAGGTGTGTATAAAACATAAATGAATAGTGTGTTTTGACTTGGGTCCTATCCCCAGGATATCTCATTATGCACATGCAAATATTCCCATCTAAAAAATTCCAAAATCTGAAACACTTCCAGCACCAGTCATATCAGATAAGGTACACTTCATTTGTAACTCCATCAAATTATAATGTTATCCTTTCATTCCCAAATCTGGGGACTTCTCTGTCCATTTCATTATGGTTTCAGCATAAGGCTCATCTCTGCTTGTCATGGAAAGTACTATGAAGATAACATGTATAATTATGCTATAAGATGGGAAGTTTGATGTAAAGAATGTGTTATTAGAGAACATTCTTGCTTTGGGCCTCAGTCCTGCCATGACCTAAGTCAAAGAAGCTCGAAAATTAGGACGATCATATTATTACTCACAAGGCTAATATGAAGATTAACATGATTCATCAATGTGTAAAAATATACTGTATCCATGCATAAATATATAAATTAGATTTTTTTCTCATTTTATTATCTTCAAAAATGTCACATACTGTGTCACTGTGTGGCATGCAATACCCCACTATCTCCAGGGTCAGTACCTACTGTTATTTTCCAGATGAGAAGGCAGAGATGCAGAGTGTGGTTAACTTATGTCAAGTCATACCCATGACAGCAATGAAGCTTAGAACTGAACTCAAGATGCACACACACTCTTAGACACTAAGCTAATGTTTCCTGTCACAGTGTTTGCAAAGACTCAGCACAACAGAGAATTTGTCCCAGGCTTTCTTTTCTCTAGTCTATAACAATTTACCCCCTGACTTGGAAAGCAGGCTCTATTTGATCCTGCCTTGCCTAATACTCAGTGCTCCTGCACAGCTACTCAGGACACCTGCTTCCTGGGGCCATGCCTGGCAGGGGAGTATCAAAAAGCTGTCTGCTTATTGTCTCCTACATCAAGGAGAAGGAAAATCATTCAGTTCACAAGCTTTGGAATAGAAATCTGATACCCTGAGTTCAAATCCTAGCTCAGCTCTTGAGTACTACATCCATGGAAAGTTAGTTTAGCTTCTTGGAGCTTTCATTTATTTAAAAATTATTTTCATTTCTAAAGGCACCTTCTTCCAAAGGTTACTGTGGCAGTTAACCCAAGTGGATGGGAGAGTATGAGCACACTGCAAATGATCCTGAAATGACTTCATATTTTCTCAAGAATGCAGAGCCCTATTTCAGCAAACCACTGAATGTAACTAATGTACAAAAAGCCAACAGAGTTACCTTCCTAAGCACTGAAACTGTGTCACTCAGCTTTCTGTTGCTCGACAAGATATTGGAGATATCAACTTATAAGGGGGAGGGTTGATTCTGGGTTATGGTTTTAGAAGTTTCAGTCCATGGTCACTTGGCATTGTTGCTGATGGGCCTGTGATAGCACAGTACATCATGGTTGGAGGGTGTGGTAGCCAAGGAACAGATGAAAGAGTGACAGAAAAAAGAAAGGACCAGGTTCCCTATATCCCCTTCAGAACCAAACCCCAAATCCCTTTTCCCTTCCCTTCCCTCCATGAGGCCCCACCTGTTCTTCTTCCTCTCAATAATGCCACAGGTTGGCAACCAAGCCATTGACATATGGGTCTTTGGGGGCCATTTAAGATCCACATCATAGCACTAACAAAGGTCCAGGCTATGGGAAGAAGTTGGAGAAGACTCATGAGCATAGTTGTTCAAACATGAAACTGTGGACAGAGCAGGGATGTAGAGGGAAAGTGACAGTGTCTTCTCCAGGGAAGGCAGAGTTTCCTTCTGTATGCTCTTTAGGAATGTGAGTAGGACCTCCCAAGACAGGCAGGGTATATTTGATTCAGAAAAAAATGCAAGCTCACAGAAAACTTCTCAAAATATTAAAGCATGGTCATCCAAGATTGCTGGAGTATGGCAGATTGTATTGTGTCTTAATTCATTCCATACAGCCCTGTCCTAGAGAATTGATTACAGAATCTGGATTCATTACATCAGTTATAAAATAGGCCACCATCCTGCTAACTGGGAGGTGTAACTCAGAAGGGGGAAATAGAGAATATAGTCAAGAGGAGGATGGAGGAGACTTTAAATATGGCATATCTTGCTTGAGAGACTGTGTGGTACTCTGTGTGTGGCACTCTGTGTGTGGCTGTGATGGAGGCTCAGCACATCCATTTCTCAGACCTAGAACATAAAAGGGAGGGAACAGGGCTGGCACTGGAGGTGTAGATGCAAGGAGCAGAGCAGTACACTGCAGCTCTATGGACAGTGGGGCTGTTTAGCATATAGATGGCATAAAATAAAAGCAGGGTTTCGAGTAATATTACAAAGAAAACATGGCACCATGGTCTTCTTCTCATTAATCACAAGAATAAGAGCAAAAGAATACAGATCCAAGGATCTTCTTGTCACAGATAAAAAAAATTATCCCAGCATGGAAGAAAGTGCAGAGAAGCATTTGCCATTTTTAGTGTTTTTGTAAATAGTTTGGTGGCACTTGAAAGGGAATGAGGGTCTCCAAGAAAGCTAAATGTCCTGTAGCCCACAGACTCATTTCCTTAGGAGACAGGAACATTGGGGAAGGTTTCAGCAATGTGGAAGGGAATGTGTACTTTCTACAATTTTATCTTTATCACAGTTTAGTAGGTAGGGAAATGCACATCTCACACATCTAAAGTCTTAGATAAACTGTTTTTGTTTCTATCCACTTCCTAGATAGCAGTAATGAACTCATACCCTAGATACAGATGGATAAATAGAACTGGTTACCATGGAACTCACAAAGCTATACTGGCCCAGGGAGTAACCCCATTAGGCCAATGTGTCTTTCGTGGACTTTGGGCTCTGGCAGGTACATAAATATTTTCTCCCTCTCATCTTAAATGTGCAGGATGTCTCAAGTGATCATTCCTTTCTGAGACTTCTTGAGCCATTTCATTTAAGTCCTTGTATGCTTGATGCCTGTTGCCACATTCTAGCCCTGACCTTTAAAGAAGAGCTAGCTTCTAGTAAGAGACAAGGATTGATCTAGGTTGTAAATTAGATATCTTTGAAATATGTGAACTAGCCCTAGGTTGGTTCTCATGTAATAAGGAAGACACTGGGGAAGGTTTTGAGCTGAATACAGGCTGAGCACATTGACTGCAATGAAGAGAGGGGATACAAAGAGACCAGCTGGACCTTGGGTTATACAGTCAGTCTTCTGTGGCCCCAGATTCCACGTCTGCTGACTTGATAAACCTCAGATAAAAAATGTCTGAAAAGAACTGCATGTATACAAACATGTATGGACTTTTTTATCATTATTCTCCAAGCAGAGTAACAATCACATAGCATTTACATTGTATTAGATATTATAAGTAATGTAGAGATAATTTAAAGTATGCAGGAGCATACGTGTAAGTTATTTGTAAAATCTATGTCATTTTATATAAGGGAACTAAACATATATGGATATTGGTATCCTTGGGAGGCCCTCAACAAATCCCCTGTGGATGCAGAGGGATTACTGCGCTGGAATTTTTGCTGGGTGATGTGTTTAAACCACATGTGTAATTGGCCATGACCTCAATTTCAAACAGCTATGGTTTCAAAAGTAAATCAGGGATGAAAAAAGCAGTGACTTTCACCTGAAGAACTCCCAAATTTAGGTCTACTTAGCTTACTTACCTACGATTTCTAAACACATTCTTCGAAACTTCCTGAGTTTCAGATTCCCCCACTTGCCAGGTGGAGGTAGCTACACATCAGCACCTTTTCAGGCACACAGAAAAAGCAGCTTAGCTCTACAGGATGGTGGAAAGGACACAGGCAGCCAACACAACACAGCTACACAGACATCCTTTAAGAACCTCATCAACAACCCTTGGGCAGAACCACTTCTTCCATTCTTCTCAGGCTCTATAGAGCAGAAAGCTAGAACCACTGGGTATGCACAAATCCTTTTAGAGAAAGAGCTATCAAAATCTGTTTAAACCATCTGTTTCTTTGGCTGCTTTTCTTTCCAGTGTTTTTCTTTAATGTATTTTTTTGCTAACAACAACAAAAAATTATTTTAAAATAACCACGATGTTATGACTGAAAATGCCAGAGGTATATATCCAGTTTATGAGATAAATTGCCTTCTAAAGAGGAGTTAGGTTTATCATGTGTGGAGGAAGGCAACATTTCTACAAATATTATAGTTGTGCTAAGAAAATAACCAACTACTTTCATTAAGATACAAGATTTGTATTTGTTCATGTAATTGAATTTAATGCTGCTGAAATTTGTCAGACTTGAAAGCTATTGAAGTTTAGACCACATTTTTTTTACATGGAGGAAAATTGCTTAAGAAATTGTCTCTTATCTTGTAGAGAGCAGGTCTTTTGCTGACCTTAAACAGTCATGAGTCAACCACTGCATCAATTTACATAATACCCAGCACTGAAGAACACCTTTAGGGATAATTTTATTTATTTTTGTGAGGCAGACTAGGCGAGGCAGGCCATGTTTGTGGAAAGGCCCTGCTTATGACCTGTCTATCAACTCTTTTCCATTTGGTGTCTGCTGTTAGGTACCTGTGACAATCAAATGTGAAGCCATGTATATTTTAACTCCCTCCAACAGTGTTGCAGCTGATTTTTTCTTCTATAGACTCACTATATTACAGATAGTAGCGAACTATCTTACCTATTACCCACCATGTCTTATTATCTTAATAACTTCAGCAAAAGTCTGCAAAAGTCCAAATCTATTTAAGATGTCATTAACATGCCTTCCTTCTCTGTTTCTCACCTGGGTTCACCTTGGTTGATGGACATGTAAATCTCCCAAGAATTCTCCTCTGGAATGGCACCATGTGGTATGAGTAAACTCACCCCTAAAACAAAAAAAGCCAAGAGGTTATTCAGATTTTTCCAACTGTTTTGAAGCACCCCACTTGAGCACCTTTTGTCTACAGAGAAGGACCTTATTATGGCAATTTGTGAAATCACAATCTTCTGAAAATTTACAAAGTCCAAGATAATAAGGAGAATGCTGTTTTGTAACAGGTGCATAAAATGGAGCATATTATTCAGCTGCCTGCTTAAATTAGTCCATTTGTTTATTTGTTTGTTTGTTTTGTGGTCCTGAGGATTGAACCCAGGACCTTGTGTATATTAGGCAAGTGCTGTATCACAAAGCTCTACCCCCCAGCCTAGTTGGTTTTTTTTTAGACTTTCATTTTAAATCCTCCTGGTAATTTTTAGTTCTCTTAAAAGACTTGGTATGCTAAAACCAAGTATTATTAAACATGCCTGAAAATATGAGAGTTTACCAACATATCAGCTAATTTGCTACAGAATGTAAGTGTTATTTCCATTACTTGAAAAAAGGTTAATGGATGAAGGATGAGTTAATTCTTTCCTTCAACCTGGTATGAAATTGTCTTACAAATTGTGCATCTGGAAGTAAGCTGTGAGCTGTCCTCAGAGGACTACTACATTTTGTCAGGAAAACAGAAAAGGTAAAGCCATCTGGTGAACATAGGAAACTTCTAGGTTATAGTAAAATGAGTATGGTCTTAGGTTTGCAAATAGAACTTGGAAAGAGTTAAGGCCAAAGGTGAGATAGCCATATTCACTTCAATGTGAAATAAAATCCCAGCCACCTTATTTTAGTAAAATCATATAATGCAGGGAGAGAAGATGCAGAAAGCCACAATTTAATGTCTTTTTTTCTTCTTCAATATTATGAAGAAAATATATCACTCTAGCCAACAGAGATACTGGGGGAGATCTGGGATTCTCTTTAATGTTGCCTCTTGTTTATAAATGGAAATGAAATACAAAAACAGTAAATTATTGACAAAATCACTTGGCATCTTCCTGTATTTTGAATAAGGTACTGCTCACCTCTTCCCCTTTCATTAAAGTTAATTGCACAGAAAGCTTTCAAGTTGCTAATAACAATTTAAATCTAGAGATGACAGGTTTTACTGGTATCTTTCAATATGCCTGTTAACAGCTCTAGAGTCAAAGACTGCAAGACTTATTTTAAGACAAGTTATTTGTGATTTATATTTATGAGTATTATCCAGTAACATTCTACTTATCATCAACATCTTTCACTAGCTCTAAGAATGAGGCACATTTAAATATTGCTCACAGCTTTTCAGCAGGGAGAGTCATCTATATTCTGGACCTTCATGTCCACAGTAGGAGAAATGCAAAGCCACACTTAGGGACCTCCCATCAGGTGCCTCCTTCTATGGGCCATTCTTCCTTAAAGTGGTTGCCCAATGGAGTGGTTTACATTATATCCTCTCCTGCTGTTGGACACAAGCTGTAAAGCATAGTATTTATTGTGTTTGGGTGTCAGCCTGAGTATATGCTTTGTAATTCTGTCTTGTTTTAGTTTGCCATAGCACTCACTTTCTCTCTGCTGCTTCCTTCCAGGTTCTCTAGGCCATTAAGACAAAGAGACACACATCCCTATCCTTCAAATATGAATATAGTAGACCATTATCAATCAGTAATGCCTGCTACCTGAACAACACTAGTGCTTGCCTGGCATAGAATGGGAACCCAGCAAACATGAGTATGTGACTAACTGAACATAGAGGATTCAAAATTTTCAGTAAAAAGGCTAGGCTGAGAGTCTTGCTGTCTTGTGTAAACTGTCATAGCCTAATGCTCTACTTCTAGATCCAAAGAGAAGAAATACATAAGAGGAAATTTGAGAAAGGGAGTTTGCAGAACACATCATATCTCATTCCTTTCAACTCAGCTTGATTCTCTGTGTTAATATGGAAACATTATTTATGATACTCCTAAATTCAGCTTGAGTCTGTAGGATCATTGAAGCTTTAAAATATTTTTCTCTCTCCTTTGATCAGAAGTTTTATTATTATCTTTCAAACATATTTCCCCTCCTCCTACCCAAACATGCAGATTGTATGTGGAGACAAAAGACAGTCAATCATGAAGGGTAGTGGAGGGCTGGCCATGGTGGCAGGTGATATATTATCATGAGAGGTGCTGTAGGATATTTATGCCTGTGGTTTCTTAAAGAAGTATCCATTTTCAATATGTCATTTATCAGTAATCTCTGATTAAACAAAAATATTCTGCCCCAAACTCCACCTGCTACTCTGGCAGCCTTTTATTTGATATGACAACAGAACCACCTGTCTGAGTTTCCTGTTTCATATTTTGCATAATAAATGATTTCTAGAGCACACCATAGGACAACTTGGCATGGATGATATTAAAACAATCTAATTTCTGTGCTTTGCTTTCTTTACACTTCATTTCCCCAGGGCATATTTTGCGTTTATGTCTTGCAAAGTATAGGGACTATGTTTCAAAATCTATACTTACTTTTCCCCTAATTCATTCACAGTAAGCAGCTTCAGTCTTGCCCATTGAACCTTGTCAGGAGCTTTGAAAATACCCCATTCACAGAGGAACTGTGCAGGAGGTACTGATAACGCTATCAGAATTTCAGTTTTCAATGGGATTACTTCTCAAGTCACAGAAGGAAAAGAGAGAAAAATCTCAGTTTCAGCACGATTTCAACTCCTCACTTTCTCTGGTGAACATGAAACACAGGCAAGGAATGGACTGGTCTTGGCATTTCTGCATGTTTACAAAAGTGCACACACACAAATGCGTCTAACAAGTGAGGATGAGAAGAGAGAAGGACACTGGCCAAACCATTTAACCAGCAGACAATGAGAGTCTCATACAAGCCAAGCCTGAGCAAGAAAGAGAAGATAAAAACCCAGGCACAGTGACTCAGTGTGTGACTTCATATGAGTTTGAGATGTATATCTTATTCTTTGAGAGGGCAAGGGTTGCGTTTTTTACTTTTATTACTACTTTTCTACCAGGACCCACACTTATTTATGAATTCTTATAGAAACTGTATTTGGTAAATATCGCTGACTGATTCATTTGCATTGAGTCTCCTATCTGCCAATTATCAAAAATCCAGAACTAAAATCCAGAAGACAGCCAATTATCAACAGGAAGAATTACATCACACATGGACAACTCATATATATTTTAAGCAAGATCCCTATCATGTCCTAAAACACTGATCAAAGAAGATTTGAAAAGCTGAAGGCCTATACAAACATAATCATTATTGAGGCCACATTAGAGGACTATTTTTAAAAATCAAAATTCATTCTGAAATGATATTTTAAATGAAGCAATTAATCTGGGAGAGAATATTCATCAATTTAAGACAAAGTTCAACTTCAAGTCACTAAACTACTAGTGGAGGGATCAGTTGGTTGAAATAGTAGCCTCAGACTAGTCCTATTACAGGTTCCATTTTATGAGATAAAATGTTGGTTAACTCTCCCTTCTAGAGAAACATACAGGGCTAACCTGTTATTTACATTGCTCATAGATACGGTGGATCTTGTCCCCTTCAGGAGTGAATGCAACACCATCTGATTTGCATATTACCTGCTTTGCACTGGTTAGAATTCAGAGGACTTCTGCCACTCACTTAAGTCTGAGGAAGCAACTCAAGGAGATTAATCTATAGATACCATGGCATTTAAAAGTGATCTGAGCTGGACACTTCAAAGTATCCTGTTAAAACACCAAGAAAATCTTCTTCCAACACAAAAGAGGAAAAAATGCTTCAGAGTTAATGGCACTTATGTCATAGCCCTGGAATGAAGTTTTAATTCCATAAAGCAACTCCACGATGATTCCTCATCATTGCTCTTTAGAAAGTAGCATTTCTAACAAGGTCCACAGACTGCAAGAGGTTAGTTATTGATGAAATTTGAGTGTTATTTCACTGGATGATCAGCCTAGGATGTAAACCATGCTTATATATCAGTGCTTGTGTATCAACTTAATGCTTGTCAGTCAGAATGTTTTTGGTGCTTCCTGATCACATTCTAGGTAATATATTTTAAGGGGCTTAAACCCTGGGGATTCCCCAGACCTTCTGAGTGACTACGGGCATCGGCCCTTGCAGGGCTCATTCTGTTCTGAGATGAAGGCTATAAGATCTGATCTCAGGGTTGGTTCTGGTTTGCAGTGCACATGAAGTAGACTGTTGGAATCATGATACTTGCTGCTCTGACAAGGGAATGGTAAACATAAAATGAACCTGACAGGCTGTAATCATGTAAATGAAAGGTATTTAAACAAGTGCTAGAGAATACATAGATATACATTTACCACCTACCTGTATTTGGCATGACTAAGCGTCCCCCTAAGTGGCCAAAGACACCAGTTGTCCTCAGTTCTGTCCTCGTGGCCAGTGATGAGAGGTTTTGGATAAAGGGTGTTTTGTTTCTGGGATGCACTGTACTAAAGGCACAGTTGTTTCCATGGGGAAAGGTCCCCAAGCGATTCTTGCCAGGATACTCAGCTCTCTCAGACACTCCCAGGGAAACCATGAAGGAGCTCTGGACTTTGACTTTGATGTCTGACAGAGGGTTGAAGAGTGAGGACTCTGTCATGAGCTCCTTGTCCAGTGGGTCCTGTAGACAGATGGGACCACTGTATGTCCGGCTCACTGTAAGGTCTGGCTGCATGGCAGGATTCAGGAGCAGGGAGTTACCTGGTAAAAGAAAATTGATCTGTCACTGAGACACTAAAAGACACCTCTGGTACCCTTTTAGGAGTGCTTTTGCTAGCTGCAAAACCACCTGCGTGATTGCAAGCTTCTCAGATCAGAGCTGGGCCACCAGTTCCAGCAGAGTACCCTGAGCAAGTGTACCAGCTGTGAAGGGCTGGCCATTCGTGACCAGGCCTTGGAATCAGGAGGCCCCTCCCCATTCATTTTTCTAAATGCCATGGGTGAAATATTCCCTTTCTGAAGTCTTTATGTTTTCTTTTCAAAGTAAATATTTCTGGCACTCAGTCAGGTAACTAACTCAGGTACTGTTGTTTATGTGATTATTTTAACTGGCAAAGAAAAGTTAACAAAAAATTGTTTTGCAATCTAGTTTGGAGCAAAAATAACATCTGTTCATTTTAAATGGCAAGTGATGACACAGCATGGTGACTAGGTAGTGCTGTTTATAACAAAGCTCTGTTGGTTCCAGAACATTTCTTGTGGAATTTGGGACATTTTCTGAAGCCAGGGAAGGAAATGATGTACTCTCAGAATGAATGGGTCAAGGAACCTCATGAATCGCTCCATGTCTGAGTAGCTGATTTGCTTGAATGTCACATATGTCACTCTGCGAGGGAAGAAAGTGCCACATTGGGACAGAGAGTGACTCAGAGTCTGCATGGGGAGCAGCTCAAAACAAATGAAAAAAATAATCTATACAAAAATATAAGAAATTGGACTTTTGCATCCATTGGGGCTTAATGATGTTTTTCCCAGCCAAATATTAAAAAGAAATGCTGTGATATTTTCTTGTGATGAAGTAATCTCATTTATTAGTAAATAACAAAATAACCCTCAGTCCGAAACCTCCCGCCGATATCAGTCCGTCAATGTGACATCTCAAATTGAAACCCAAACCATATTAAACAATTTTCCTTGGGGCCTGACAAAAATGCTTAAAGTATGATTTTTTGAAAAAATGTTGCAATTCTAGGCCATATTTTAATAGTCTCTATTGTGTTTCGATTTTCATAATTTGTAATGATGCCAGCAGGAAATCTGTAACCCTGCCTTTTTCCACATCTTGTTTGGATGCTCTGCGGATCCAGAGTCACAGGAAAGATGCACAAATGATGTGAAATAACACTGGAGATCTGAAGGCTCTTTGATGATGCCTGATATTTTTTCATGCCTGGGGCTGGTGGGCCAAGACACAGGCACCAAAGAGGCTCTGTGCTTTTTTTTTAAAAAAAACAACCACATGGACTTCTACAGGTTGTGATCTTGCTCTACTTCATGGTCTTCCCAGAAAAGAAATGGGACCAGAGAGCTATCTCACAACTGAAAAGAAGTTTCCATGAAGACTTCAAAATTTTATCCCTAAGCCTCTTGGCTATTTGATCTCAAGCTCTAACCTTCAGAGGCCTTATTTTTGTCTACTCTTAAAAGGCCCTCCTAGCTTATATGAAGCAAAGAAGCAAAAAATATTTCCTATATTTAGACAGCAAAGCCATGGAAAATGCCTAAGTGAAAAAGGATGGGCATTTGATAGAGTCTACAGTTCAAGAGTACTGGTTGCTATTCTTCTTCTGCTACAGAAGTCTGGTCAGAGCCAATCACCCACCCCGGGTCTCTCAGATCTACTCTTTGGAAACCTATTTTAAAGTCCATGCTCTACTCTAAGTATGACATTCATTCATATTCTGTGTCTGTCTGTCTGTCTCTCTCTCTCTCTCTCTCTCTCTCTCTCTGTATCTCTCTCCCTTTCTCTGTCTCTGTCTCTATTGCTGAGATGGAACCCAGGCCCTCATGCATACTAGGCAAGTACTTTACTGCTAACCTACACCCCAGCCCATGATGTTCTGTTTAACAGACTTCCTGTTCCACTTCTTGGGGCCCTGGATATATTTCTCAAGAAGAAGACATAGCTCTAAGGCCTTGGAGGTCAAAGACATCCACCATTGCTGTGAAATACATCACCACAACAAATACAGGGAGAGTAGTGGTTACCAAAGGATTTTCTCTTCTTTCTCTAGTTCTGTGAGATTCTTGGCCAAAAATAAATGAAATGGTCAGGTAATTTGACAAGGTAACATATTGTCTTTGAGATCACAGTGCATATGAGCTCTTAGATGTATCTCCCTAAGGAGATGCATTTAAGCTTATGCAAGCTAGCATTCCCTAAAGATGTTCACACCCTTCACTTGCTGCTTTGTGCTCCATGCAGCATGCTGGCATCCTATTCTGAGGTGAAAAGAAATTACCACCTTCTAGAACTACATTCACTACATTTATGACCACTTCCCATATGCCAAGGGTTTATCCACATTATTCTAATTTCATCCTCCTAAGAACACTGAGGTGGATGTTAAGTGGATACTTATTTTATAGCTGTAGAAACTGTGACTCCAGGATAATTGATTACATAGGTTGTGTAGAACTTTTAGACTCTGACTTTACAGCCTGTGAACTTATACACAACACTGTCTCTCACACTACTTAATGTAGTTCCTCTGTTTCCAAGTGTTTGTGGTCTCAGACACTAACATCCTGTTTTTTGATGGAAATATATTTTTAGTTTTCTATGTAGTATAAAAAATGGTTCTTCACAGGATTTATAACAAATTAAATCTTATATGTTCAACCATATACCTGAATCCAGAACATGCACCTCTGTTGGAGGCTGAACACTGAGGTCCCCAGGGATAAATGGCGAGAAGAGAAATGCTTGTCCCTTCCCAACTCTCAGTTCTGCTTTACTTTTTTCTAGGAGATTTGGATTTCTACTTTAGTGGCCTGTCTATTCAGTTAGTGCTAAGCACTGAGACTTCTCTACCTGTGCCTTAGGCATGATTTACTGACAATAAATAGAAACAGAGGGACAGTATGGATAGTGAAGATCGAGGTCACAAACATCATCTGAAGAGTGATGGTTTCAGATTTTCTGAAATGAAAGTCACGAATAGCCCATCCCCACCTTGAAATCAGGAAAAGATTTGGTTCATCTAAGAGAATTAAGCGATCTCTGTTTTGAAAATGAGTACTGCTATAGTTTGACATGATAGATACTCTTTCCTTCGCTACGTAAGATTGCTTGGACTTGGTGACAGCCAAGAGTCATTTACACTGCAGTTTCATTTTTTCCCCTGGCTAACTGGCCCTTTATATATCTTCTAAAGTCTTCTTACTTATTCAAAATAGAAGAAACTGAAATCTAGTGTAATAAATACACCTGGGAGGCTGTGGTCTGGGACTTTGCCCTCAGCCTTGGAGATTCAATATTTTAGTTAACTAAATTAAATATGTATCTTCAAATCAGCCTTCTTACAAGAGAAGGTTGGATAATTTGAGATAAAGTAATTCATTAGGCTCACTATGTATCAAAGGTGAAATTGGCCCATTTAAAATGATAATAATGGCCGCCTGAGATTCACTTGACCTTGTGGTAGCCAAGGATGTCAGCAGACTGCCTGTTCATGCTTGGGGCTGATGTGTATGAACAATTTGGTAGCGGCTCCCAGTGCCAAGAGCTACCTTCACACAGGCCCCCAAGAACTCTGGGTTCCATGTGCAAATGTAGTCGCTGGTCCTGAGGACCAGGTGTTGGGGGACCTACGCCGCTGACCTTGACGGACTGTTTTGAAGTTGAAGGTCTGGAAGCCACCTGTCAATGCAGAAGAGTCAATGACGTCCACGCCGTAGTCACTGTGGCTCCGTCTGTAAAGGGTGACTCCAATGACCAAGACTGCAACGGCGACGACCGCGGCACCCAGGCCTGAATATAGAGCGATGTCGCTGGCATTCTCGATGCCTGGAAGACACAAGAGAATCCCTAAATGGCCAACATGGGCATGGTGCCACAGAGCCACCCTGGGATACAAAATGAAATGCTATTTGACTTGTGGAGCTATTGCTCATAGAAAATGACATATGTAGCTAGCCATGAGTTGTACTTTCATTCACACAATAATCCTGTTTCTCAAATGCCTTGTATAAATCAAAATGATGCTAGTCAAATATCTTAACTGCATTAAGGTAGCTTACCATGTAATAGACTCTTGGAGAGAATCAATTTTGCAAAGAATACTTTTCTAGTTCAAGACAGACAACTCCTTAACATACATATTTTAAGAAGTCATGTTTACCTTCAAAGTGTATTTTATACTTTATTGAAAGAGGACAGATCCACACAAATGACAAATAAAGTGGGACTGCTCTGCTGTTTGATGACCCGGGGCACATGCATTCACAGACAGTGGTGTAGAACAAGAAGTTAACCCATGGTCTATGAGTCTGGAGAAGACCAGAGCTCACAAATAGGAATTTTAGCTTTGACATAAGTCATTCAGATTCATAGAACATTGACAACCTCAGTTCATGGGACATACAATCATTTTCATAGAGTGTTTACTGTGGAAATGAAGGTCTTGGTCTCAGGGGCTCTTATGTCCATGGGAATTACTTTCTGGCCCCACTTAAGATACTAGACTCCAACACTCCACTGTGGGGAAGACTGGTCTCTCAGAGGGCACATGCTGTTTCTCCCATACCTCTCCTACTCCATCCTATTGAATGCATGGGCAAAGCAAAAATAAAAGCGTTAGTTTGAATTTAGAATGTAGGTGTCTCACCACCCCCAGGATGTGCTACAGCTGCTTTTCCACTCTTTTCCAGATGTGCACTGGGTGTGCTTTATCCCTGTAGCCAATTCATAATGGCTATTTCAATTTAGCCTAGGGGATTTATCTGAGACAACGTAATCCTAGAAGAGGTGTAAAAGTGAAAGTGTGTGGAAACGGAAAGTGGCAAGAGCTAACTACATAATTAATCTTCCTACAGATTATGTGCTAAGTACACTTAATGGGTCCAAAAGTAATTACGATGTCATCCTGTGTTGGGCCAAGAGAACTAAATAAACCTATCATATATTTACCTTGTAATTGCATGGCACTTAAACTATGCATTCACTGCACCCTAATATGGTACTTATGTTACCAAATGAGTAATACTAACCACACAAGTAAAGAGAATTTATTTTCAACAAAGTTAGTGGACTGTAAAATAAGGTGCTACCAAATTAAAGTGTGAACAAGGAAATCAAGCAGAACCAGTTCAGAATAGGGCAGTAAACACATACAAATAAAGAGCAAGAGAAAGCGCAATCACCCAAAGAAGAGTTTCTGAAAGGTCAGAGGTTTATTAGATGCTCAACAACTGCAACAGCATGGTAAGTCTCATGCAGTCCTTGGTTCCAACTTCATGAACATCTAAATAGGGGAGGAATGGGGATGGAGGGCTAATCCTTTAACCACCATGGGCATGCTGACTAACATCCAACTCAGAATCCCCATATCTGTCCATGTCATCTGGAGGGAGGAGAAGGCCGGTCATCAATCTACACATATTCCCACCCTCCCTCTACTCGGTGGAGTTCGTGGGAGAGAATAATTATACCTAGGACAAAGAGAGGGCACAGAACATAGCAGATGCATCATGCCAGGGCATCAGGCAGTGAGGGTACTTTGAATTTGGACCGATTACCTTCCTCCCTTCCCTCCAGTTCCTTGAGCACTGCTGACTGATGATGCTACCATCCTAAAAGGTGTATCTAGGGAGAAATACCTGCTCAGGAAATGACCACAAACAGAGGAACAGCCTGTGGTGTACTGAGTGCAGCTGTTCTGCTGCTGAGTTGGCAAGGCAGAGACAAAGACACCCTTAGCTTCCCAGGTACTAAACCCTGAAGGACCCAAGCCAACAGGATGACCAGGGCAAAAAGCCTGAGCAGAAAGTGGGGATCACTGTGCAGAAACCTAATGAGACAAAACAGAAGAGGAGGCACATGATGTCACTGTTTCCCTGAATCCCACTTTACCCTTCGTGTGCCCACTACTCAGGTAATCAGAATTCTCTCTCTCCAGATACAAATTCTGTTTTTAGCAAAGAATCCTGCATATGATTTCAGACCAAGTTATAATGTTTGATATGGCTCAGTGTTTTCCCCTCCTAGGAAAACTTGTAGAATCCATTTGACTTAAGTCAAGAGAATAAAATACAAATTATAAAATTTAAGAATAAGTAGAGGGACTTTGGGGTTAGGGTAGGGAAAGAAGGGAGCAAGACCTGCATGGGGCACTGGCCGCCCATGAGGCTCACTCTGACCCTGGTAGAGCTAGGAGCCAGGGAGAGATTCCTATAGAAACAAAAGCAAAGTGGTATTGACTTTATAAGAATACTTTGTCTTGGGGATTCCAAACTTCAAAATATAATAATTTCATTAATTCAACAAACACTTTTGAGGACCACCCATGTAAAAGAAATGAGAATGTGTGGAAGAAGTCACCAAGGCCCATATTTCCCATCATTTCTCCTCTAAAAGACAAGTGCTGACACCCCGGTATTCTGGGAGCAGCTGCAGAGCTACACACAAGTACTCACATTTTATATCTCAAGAGATTTAATCAGACATCCTTACCCACAGAGCAAATTCTTCTAAAGCTGAATCACTGTGCTTCTTTCTTCTTTTTTCTTTCTTCTTTCTTCTCTTCTCTGTCTACCTGCTTATACTTCACCTCATTCTTTTTTCTTTGTTTTCCCCCTATCTTGTTGTTTTCTAAGCTTTCTAAGAGCACAGAGTTGGCTTTCCCTGTGAGAATTTCCATGAATTCACAAAAGTTATAGAAATTCTCTTCAATGCCATCAGAACTTGCTCCAGAAGGCCCTGAAGTATAGTTCCATGTTTTCTATGCTGGCATCATGGGAGAAGGGAAGAAGCTGTGTGTATGTGCATTAATTATCACAGGTGCTCTGGGATGGTATCTGCAGAATCATCACATGCATATCTGTGTGTGTGCAAGCACATACTCGGCTCATATCAGGGTACTGGACAGGCTGAGGAAAACCACTGCCATTCACTCCCAAGAGAATTACCCCAGTCACATGATTGCCAGGCTCAGTCACGCCCCAGGAGTGATCGCTCCTGTCACATCCTTTCCTGAGCTTCTGATTTCAGCCCATGGTGGCACTCTCACTCCAAATTCAAGGGTGACCAATTTACCAGCCAGGTGGATGCCTGACTACAAAGGCCCTGGGCAGTGGTCGGTGTGACCCACCTTCTGCACTCTGCCCAGTCTGTGCCTGTCTGCCTGTCAGTCAGGAGCCAGCCCACCGTCCTTCTCCCTCAAGGTGACTCTGCCAGGGCCAGTCCAGCCAATGCCACCAATCTGTGGGATTCCCAACTCTTGTATACATTGCTTAGCATTCTGACATCTTATTTTGGATCACACTTTTTATTATTAATTGCTAGAATGACAGAAAGTTGGTTTGTTCTAAGTGCTTTCAACTCTTCCTAAGCAGTATTAGCTCTATAATTTCCCACAGAACATTCCAAGTCATTGTATAAAACTGTTTATTGACTGCTTGCCTGATCTCCAACTGTGAGGAGAGAAATATTAAAGAAACTAGTCTTAGCTTTATTTTGAAAGCCCTGCTATAAGAATTGCCTTTTTAGTTCCATTGTACATAAGCTTATCACTATCAGCTCTCCTGCCAACACACAGTGTTGCTGGTTTATTTGCTCAAAGTGATTTTGAACAAAAGCACTGACAGAGAGGGCTGTTCTTTTTGTGGGTACATCCTACTTTTCTCTGACTTTGTTTCATAACTAAGGCTTTCTGTGTCAATATGTTACTGATGTCTTTCCTGCTTTCTTCCTGTCTATTTTCCTCTATTCAGGAGTTACAAAATCTTAAGGCAAAGCTTGGAAGGATTACACATGTGGTAGTAAAAAAATAATTGTTGTTATGTGCATTCTACAGGTATAAACAAAACAAAATGAAAAAATAAACCAAAAGAACTGATTGCAAAATCTCTTCTATTACAAATTACTCAGCAACTACTAAGGAATGTGGTTCCTGCTGGGTGGAGTGCAGAACAACTGCAGTAAAAGGCTGTAAAGATTAACAGAGAGTCTGAAACTGGGACCCCCAGGGAGAAAATGTTTATGGGTTCATTTGGCCAGGAAATAGAGTTGTAAAGTGACTTCATGGCTATCCGAATGCATAAAGGGTTGTTTTAACAACAGAATAGACCCACAGTAGGTATTCAATGACCAGTTATTTATCATGAAGCTAGTGACCAACACTTTGCCATCTCTAACAAGGATTGAAAAGGAGGACATGCCCTTTTATTATAGCAGTTGGGACTCAAGTTAGATATTAAAATGATCTTTTCCACAATGAGAGTTGTTAAAAAAAAAAACCCAGCTATATTTCTGAGGGAGATTGTGCAATATCCTTTCAGAAAGTCTCTAAAAACCAGCATAACTTTATACTAGTCTGCAATTATTTTATTTGTTTTGGTCAGAGTTGGTGAGAAGGACAAAATGGCCTTTCCAACCCCCTTTGAATTTCACAGTTCCAGAGATAGATAATAACAAATTTGATGGCTTTATGAATTTATAATCATCTGCAGTCACTTATAATAACTAGTGTCCTCAAAAGACTCAAGAGAAGTGCTGTTTACTTGATTTGCCTTCCTTGTTTTACATGACTCCCAGGTGAAAGACATATTACCGCCTCTTACTAATGGAACTTTAACTCAATTCCCATGTTATGAATTTAAAATATATCAAATTGAAATTTATTTTGCAGAACTCAAATAAGCTATAGAGAATTAACAAAGGAGCATGATGAGTACTTCACAGCATTCTGGTTTATCTCCTATTAGGGGTTGTGGAAGAACTATTGCTCCCATTGCAGAAAAAAATACAAACAAACTTGAATTGGTATATGTAAGAGGCATAGGATTGCTAGGGATTCTGCATGATAAATACTCATAAAGAGTAGCCTGTAAGAGGCAAATCAGTGGAAGACTGGAGAGTCAGGTACTGAGTTGTAGGCCAAGCAGTGTCTTTCCAGCAGGTACCCTCTGCCCAGATAGGGCTGTTGATAAAAAGAAACCTACCCAAATATTTCCTTGCATGCTGAAATATGATATAAGAGAAGCTATTGTTAGAGTTTGTTCCTATTTACTATCATCAAGAAGCAATATATTTTTCTCTTAATTCAACAGAAAATAGCCATGGTCAACCATAGTATAGTAAGCAATTACTAGTTGTATTTGCAATCCTTAGAATCTTATAACCCCTTAATGAATCAACATCTCTGTCTTTTTAATTTTTCATCTTTGAAAATCTCACAATTGCTATTGTAGATGCTGCTTTATTATTGTAATTAATGACAACAGCAATCAAGTCTTAAATATATACCAAGCATTGTTTCATTAACCTGGTATCATTCTAGTATTTTATACTTACTGCCCCCTTTACTTTTTCCAACAACTTTATACAAATGTCCTTATTGAGATGTGTAATGGGAAGCAAGAACATTACTTGTCTTGCCCAGAGCCTTATGAGTGTCAGGTGTCAGAGCCAGGAATCCATCCAAAGAAGTCTGGTGCCAGAATAGTGCTTGTGGTCACCACCTCTTTGGCTGTTAACAGGTCTGCCTCATCAGGCTGCCGGATGACCTCTCTGTAGAAAAAGTGACTCAGGAATGAGTACTAA